ACAAACACAGGCATGTCATAGTTTGCTTGAGGTATGCTTCGCAAAGAGCTCACCAAGACAGGTCTCACTAGGTTTGATGACCAACCTGACAACTACAGCCTGGAAATCCAAACTTTTGATTATCAGGTGACTAGGCCCTTAATTTGCTGAACGCATAAACCTTTGGGAGCCTTCCTGGCCAGCACAATACGATTGTTGCCAGGGGCTATAGCTGCTGGTAGTAATCGCATGCAGCAATATCCAACAGACTGGTTGTACCCAAGTTGATAAATAGATCTACTTGAGTAAACTCAGCCTGCCCATACATGAATTGAAATTTGGCCGGTCTCTGCTAAACAGGCTGAATTTTATTCTGCATATATCTGGCTTAAGGCTACATTTTAGTGCATAGAATGTGACAGTGATGATCACGTGCAAGTACTTCATTCACTTGAAGACAGTCCCACTCTACCGCAGAAGGATTACCTGTGGACAAAGCATGGTGGCGAGAGTACAGACCAAACACTGCCTCATACTCCAGATTTGTACACATGTACAGATGTTTGTGGAGAAGGACAATTCTGTGTCAAAATATATTTAGTATGTGTGTACCGCAAGGATCAACCTGAAAAAGCTTTAGGACTTTATGCTGCTCTAGATGATGGATAACAAGTCTATTGGAAGATCAAAGCTTTTTGACCTGTTAAACACAACAGGAGATGCCTTACTATATACCATGGACACCTGTACTGCCATTGCAGAAATTTCAGACAGGAGAGTCATTGGTCTTGTAGTTGTTCCCCTAAATGGCAATGTAGAAATACCAATGCCCGCTCTTCTTGAGTGCAATCAGATTCCTGTCAACAGAGAGGAGATCACTACTCCTGCAGCTGCCTCTCACTACTCACTTTAGAGACATACTGACCCTATACCAGCTCAATGCTGATATTTTTCTGCTTCTTGGCCGAGACATCCCAAGGGTACACAGGGCTTGCCAACAAATCAGTGGGCCACATAACACACCATATGTCCAATGACTGTACCTATCTTAGATCTTCATAGGCAACGTCTGTCAGGGTCAGCCTTTTTCAACCAGGGTGACGGAAAGCTAGCCAATTCATGACTACAGCATGTTGCTAGAGTGTACAGAAAAAAAAAAAACCATATATATATTCACATGGATATATTCACATAGACTATAAAGGTCTGTTTGTTAACAGGCCAGATGTAGAGTCATGAAGGAGTAAAAAAAAAACTTATGTTCCCAATCTAGAACAAATAGGATTATAACAACTCAATTGTTCTATTAAGATCCAACACATTCATACATAGAGTGAGGAACAGAAGTATTTGAACACCCTGCGATTTTTCAAGTTCTTCCACTTAGAAATCATGGAGGGGTCTGAAATTCACATTGTAGGTGCATTCCCACTATGAGAGAATAAAAAAAAAAATCAGAAAATCACATTATATGATTTTTAAAGGATGTATTTGTCTTCACTGCTGAACATAAGTATTTGAACACCTTAGAAACAGCAAGAATTCTGTCTCTCAAAGACCTGTTACTGTGCCTTTAAAATGTCCTCCTCTACTCCACTCATTAATCTAACTTAGTAGCACCTGCCTGAGCTCTTTAAAGCCACCTGTCCACCCCACAGTCAGTCAGACGCCAACTTCTACCATGGGCAAGACCAAAGAGCTGTCAAAAGACACTAGAGACAAAATTGTGGACCTCCACAATGCTGGAAAGGGCTACGGGGCAATTGCCAAGCAGCTTGGTGAAATAAAATCAAATTGTTGGAGCAATTGTTAGAAAATGGAAGAGGCTAAGGACGACTGTCAGTCTCCCTCGGACTGGGGCTCCATGCAAGATCTCACCTCGTGGGGTATCACTGATAAGAAAGATGAGGAATCAGCCCAGAACTACAAGGGAGGAGCTGGTCAATGATATGAAGAGAGTTGGGACCACAGTTTCAAAGGTCACTGTCGGTAGAAACACTACGCTGTTGTGGTTTCAAATCATGCATTGCATGGAAGGTTCCCCTGCTCAAGTCATCTCATCACATGTCCATTCCCGTCTGAAGTTTGCCAATGACCATCTGGATGATCCAGAGGAGGCATGGGAGAAAGTCATGTGGTCAGATGAGACCAAAGTAGAACTTTTTGGTCTAAACTTCACTCGTCATGTTTGGAGGAAAAAGGATGGGTTGCATCCCAAGAACAACATCCCTACTGTGAAGCATGGGGGGTGGTAACATCATGCTTTGGGGGTGCTTTTCTGCGAAGGGGACAGGACGACTGCACTGTATTAAGGACAGGATGAATGGGGCCATTTATTGTGAGATTTTGAGCAACAACCTCCTTCCCTCAGTCAGAGCACTGAAGATGGGTCGTGGCTGGGTCTTCCAACATGACAACGACCCGAAGCACACAGCCAGGATAATCAAGGAGTGGCTCCGTAAGAAGCATATCAAGGTTCTGGAGTGGCCTAGCCAGTCTCCAGACCTAAATCCAATAGAACATCTTTGGAGGGAGTTGAAACTCCGTGTTGCTCAGCGACAGCCCCGAAACCTGACAGATCTAGAGGAGATCTGTGTGGAGGAGTGGGCCCATATCCCTGTTGCAGTGGGTGCAAACCTGGTCAAGAACTACAGGAAACGTTTGACCTCTGTAATTGCAAACAAAGGCTTCTGTACCAAATATTAACACTGATTTTCTCAGGTGTTCAAATACTTATGTTCAGCAGTGCAAGACAAATAAATTCTTTAAAAATCATACAATGTGATTTCCTGAATTTTTTTTTAATTCTGTCTCTCAGAGTGGGAATGCACCTACAATATGAATTTCAGACCCCTCCATGATTTCTAAGTGGGAGAACTTGCAAAATCGCAGGGTGTTCAAATACTTCTGTTCCTCACTGTATGTTAGTAATATTATTAAGCAGATATTCTATGTTAGATTAAGGAAGGCTTCTAACACCCTCTCCATTAGCACTGGGGTCACTCTGGCTGAGTGAGAGAGAGAAACTTAGGGAAAAGAGAAACATTGGAATACTAGTCAGTAGCAGTGTGCAAAGGTTTCTTTTCAACCTTTAACATTGGGTGTCCTACGTGCGTGAATGTTGCTGCATTATGTAAAACTATTACTTTAGTTTTTACATTTTGGAATGGGGTGCCTTAAGGTTGTGCATACTTTTAGAGGGTGCCTTGACTGAAAAAAGGTTGTGGAACACTGGTCTGGGTAATGTCTTTCACTGTTTTTTTATTTCAAGATGTGTCCTAGCCAAATGGTGGTAATGGTTTTGAACAGTACCCACATCACTACCATTTCAAAGAAAGACTTTGCATTATTGCATGAAACAATTCTATACACTAGGTGATAAAAAGGCCCTTCATTTCTGGGATGATCATGTCACCACTGTGTTCAATGTAACAACTAAAGACAATGAGCTGGCAGCCCCCATGGAAGACATGGAGTTCATAAAAATTACGAGTAAGGAGTTGTGTTGGGACAATTGCAAAAACTGGGTAATACCACTACCACTGAAATCTTGTAAAACCTATTTCAAGAAAGAAACTACCAAATAATGTTCAGCATGCAGAAGCATGATTTACCTCTTTGCAACGCACCCTGAACAGAAATCCTGAGATGAAGAAACACTTTGTTGACTTTATGCAGAAGTAGTTTGTGAGAAATCATGCTGTACACGCACCACCTCTTAGTGAAGTAGAGGAATGTTGGTACCTCCCATTCTTTGGCATGTACCATCCTTGTAAGCCAGATCAAATTGGGGTGGCCTTTGACTCAGGTTTTTAATATAAAGATGTTTTCCTTATTGATGTTCTCCTCATGGGGCATAATCTGAAAGACAACCTAATAGGAGTTTTGCCCCATTTCAGACAGGAACCATTTGCTGTTATAGCTGAAATTCAGCAAATGTTCTACTGTTTCAGTGTTCAAGAAGACAACAGAAGCTTCCTCAGGTTCTGATGGTATCACAAGAACGATGAACCCATCACAGTTCACACTGATTTTACATTTGAACTGGTTAATCCTTATTCTGATTAAGAAATCAGAGCTAATGCTGTTATACTCAACACTTCTGTGAATTCAGAGATGATGCTGAGTTCTCCATTTTGAACGTTTTTTCAAAATGATCTTCTGTCGACTGAGCTATCACACAACTTACCCATGTTACTCATCAATTTGCAACCAATACTAAGGATCATTAAGAATGTCGTGGATGGCACATCTGTAAAGAGCCTCTCACCATCAAGGAAAATTCACAAGCAGAAAAGGTCATTAGGGACTAAACTTTTCTAAAGATAGTCCACTCTACAGATTGAACCCAATGATTGATCACAACAAGATACTTTGAAATGGTCACATAGAGAAGTCCAATCTGTTCAGTAAGGAACAGAATCCTCTTATTGTTCCAGGTTAACATCACTTTATTGCATTGCTGGTTTAACATCACCAACAGCAAGTTCAGCACCTTGGCAATATCTTCTGGAGTCAATAGAAGAAGGTGCACCATTGCAGTTTTCAAGGTCGTAACAAATGGCAAACTGGCAAATCCAACCTACAAGTGGGTACATAGTCCTCTTGAAAGAAAAGAATGCCAACTGCAACCATAGGTCTCTGGGTCTCATTACAAAGACTGCACCAAGCAGTGATGGAAAAGTTTGAAAAGTAGCTGTCAAGGTAGTTAAAGAAGGATCAGCATGACTTTACTTCAGGCCTGTCAACAAACTGGTACTTCTTTTGCCAAAGGAATAGGATTTGACTTCTAAAACAATGACTTTATTCAAAGGGAGGTGAGAAGGACTGGTACATGTTGCTGCCTTATCCTCTAAAGATACACTCATAAACTCTCTTCTGTGCGATCTTACAGACAGACCTTACTGCATACCACACATACAGTCACACATACACTATATTGCCAAAAGTATTGGCACACCCCTCCCCAAATCTTTGGATTCAGGTGTTCCAATCACCTCCATGACCACAGGTGCATAAATTCAAGCACCTAGGTATGCAGACTGCTTCTACAAACATTTGTAAAAGAATAGGTCACTCTCAGGAGCTCAGTGAATTCAAGCGTGGTACCGTGATAGTTTGCCACTTTTGCAATAGGTCCATCAGTGAAATTTCCTTGTTGCTAAATATTCCACGGTCAATTGTTAGTGGTATTATAACAAAGTGGAAGCAACTGGGAACAGCAACTAAGCCACGAAGTGGTAGGCCACATGAAATGACAGAGCGGGGTCAGCACATGCATGTGGCCTTTAGATTAGCACAACAACAGTGCATAGAGAGCTTCATGGAGTGGGTTGCCATGACCGAACAGCTGCATCCGAGCCTTACATCACCAAGTACAATGCAAAGCGTCGGATGCAGTGGTGTAAAGTATGCCGCCACTGGACTGTAGAGCAGTGGAGATGTGTTTTCTGGAATGATGAATCACTCTTCTCATACTTCATGGGAATCCGATGGACATGTCTGGGTTTGGCGGTACCCAGGAGAACGGTACTTACCTGACTGCATTGTGCCAAGTGTAAAGTTTGGTGGAGAGGGGATTATGGTGTGGAGTTGTTTTTCAGGGGTTGGGCTTGGCCCCTTAGTTCCAATGAAGGGAACTCTTAAGGAGTCAGCATACCAAGACATTATGGACAATTTCATGCTGCCAACTTTGTGGGAACAGTTTGGGGATGGCCCCTTCCTGTTCCAACATGACTGCTCACCAGTGCACAAAGCAAGGTCCATAAAGACATGGATGAGCAAGTTTGGGGTGGAGGAACTTGACTGGCCTGCAAAGAGTCCTGACCTTAACCCAATAGAACACCTTTGGGATGAATTAGAGCAGAGACTGCAAGCCAGGCCTTCTCGTCCGACATCAGTGCCTGACCTCACAAATGCTTCTGGAAAAATGGTCAAACATTCCCATAGACACCCTCCTAAACCTTGTGGATGGCCTTCCCAGAAGAGTTGAAGCTGTTATAGCTGCAAAGGGTGGTCCAGCTCAATATTGACCCCTACAGACTAAGACTGGTATACCATTAAAGTTCATGTACATGTAAAGGCAGACATCCCAATACTTTTGGCAAAATGGCATATATCTATTAAAAATTTCAGTGTTAAAAAAATGACATTAATATTTCACCTTATAGACACATGTAGACCCCGATTGTCTCCGTTGGTCACCAAAACCAAGCAATACGTTCACTAGAATTGTTTACTCTTTGCTGCTATATTCCATCAGTATTGATGATATTAAAGTGCTTGTAAAGGCTCTAATTGTTTTTCTTAAAATAATAACATGGTAAACTTACCTGCTCTGTGCAATGGTATTGCACAGATCGGCCATGAACCTACTCTTCTGGAATCTCCCACAGACGCTCTTAGGCTTCTTCTCTTCTGCAAGCACCAATATAGCAAGATGCTTGCTATGGAGGTGCACAGGGGACTCAGTCCCAAGCCAGGCTATATGCATCCATAGACATGCACAGTGAGGCTCCGCCCCCCTGCTCCCTTCTCAGAGGAATTGATTGAGCCAGTGGCTCCTATTGCTGCCTTTGTGTCTTGTGAGCAGAGAGCGAGCACGGCACTGGATCAAAAGAGAAGCCAGATAAACATTTGGGGGCTTTATTTAATACAGAGAATGCATTAAGGTAAACAAAAAAAAAAAAAAAAACCTTATGCCTTTACAACCACTTTAATGCTGGGGGTATGATGACTACATGATTGTTAAATTGGTTCTTAACTGCTAGTCTGCCCAGGCAGCTGTTAATAACAGAATTCCAAAGCCTTTAAAAGAATTCTTTAGATTAATGTTCCCTCAGCACAAGACATCCTGCAATAAAACACTACATGATGGTAAACTGAGTGGACTTTCTCTGATACTGTTTGCCAGTTTGCGTATTGACTTTATTTGTTGCCTGGAGTTGGTCCTTAGCCCGTATTATAAATATTTTATTTTTAAATGATTAAACTTTGGAGCTAGGCATTCATTTCCCGAGCATCCTGCAGCTTCAAATGTTCTTATTATCATCATTTATCATCCCTAAAACGGTCCACTTCCTGCAAATTCAATGTATGCTTGTGATAACTCTATATAACCATGGCCACAATTTGTTCTGCAGTAGATCATGACGTGATAGATGGCCATTCAGTGCTACAGATTGTTGTAAAGCCTCTGGAAATGTTACACCGTAAGGCTCTTCCAAAAACAAGGGGGAACAATTAAATAGACATTTACTGTGTACCAGGTTTTATAACCATGTAATTGACTGAAATGCCAAATAATTACAGCAGGTAATGGATATCAATATATGTCATCAGCATGAGCATTTCGATTTTACCTAAAGGGGAATACTAGCTTATTCCATGTTGTTTTCACACAATTAAAAATGTGCAACAATGACCACATTTTGTCATTAAAATAGATTTGAACCTAATCACTAAAATCTTATATAAGCTTTAACGTGTTAATGTCATTTCAAAAGTTGCTTTTTGGTGTTTTCAAATTTGTAGCTTTCATTAAAATAACATCTGGTTATGCCATCATAAAGGCCATGTTCAGGCTCCCTGTTATAAGCTGACAACTATCCCTCATATGTGCTCTTGTGTTGTCACATGGGCCTCTGATAGGAACAGTTCACTTACAGTTTCTACACACATTGTGCAGACATGGTTCACTGTTGCCATGATCGGGAAGCAGGGGAATGATGTGCTGCTGAGGATGGAGCCAGTTTATGTAGTCAATGAGTTGCTGAAATGGACTGGAAGAAATCAACAGCACTGAGATGAAGAACCCTATTGGACACATTTGGGGTGAATTGGAACACTGGTTGCTATCCAGATTTTCAGGTTCAGGTGCTTCCAGTGAAGGGTATTGTTGATGCTACAGCATAAAAAATACATTGTAGACAATAGCACACCCTCTAACCAGCTTGAGGAAAGTCTGTTTTTTTTTCCCCAGCATGACTGTGCCCCTGTGCACAAAGCCAGTTCCATAAAGACATTGCTTGATGAGTTTGGTATGAAGGAACTCAAGTGGCCTCCACAAAGCCCTGACCCTGAGCCCTTGGGATGAACTGGAATTCTGACTGTGGATCCAGGACTTCTCTTTCAGCATCAGTACTTTACCTCACAAATGCTCTTTGGGCTGAATGGACATACAATGCAACACTCTACAAAATATTGTGGAAAATTTCCTAAAAGAGTGGAGGCTGTTATGCTGCAAAAGGGGGAGGAGGCAATTTAAAGCCCATGGTTATGACATAAGATGTCCAACAAGCTTATATAGGTGTGATGGTCAGGTGACCACAAACCTTTGCAAATGTAATGCCTTTAAAGGTTACAGCAAATTATTGGCATAACTATCCACATTTCTTTTATAATTAAGGAGAATGAAACAGGAGGAATGTGAACATTTGTTCTGTATCCGCAGCAGCCAGAATCTCAATTGGATGGGTGCAAAGTCAGAAACGATTGCAGGGAGAGTTCACTGCTGGAATTAAAATAAAAATATATTTTTTTAAAAGGTGCTGTCGGGGATCTCCGCGATCCCCGCAGCGATGGTCCCGGCGCAGTGCGCCGCCCTGTGCAGGGACGCGGGCACTAGGTCCGGGCCAAATGCGGCGTTCGAGTTCGCGCATGCGCAGTAGAAGCCGCGGCCGCCCGCTGGGCACCATTGGCAGCGCAGGGCGTGATATTTAAACGGCCCTGAGCTGTCATTCAGTGCCTTCTGGTCTTACCTGCATTCCTGAATCTGCGAACCTGTGCCCTGTGAGTTATTGACCCGGATTGTACCTGACCTTGCCATATTCTCCTGTCCTGACCCTTGCTTTGTCTGACCTCTCTCCTGGATGCCCCCTATCGGATCTGACCTGCTGTTGCTGACCTGGCGTGTGACCCGACTATTCTCTGCCAGCTGCCTTGTACCGCACTGTCCTCTCTGTTACCGACCCGGCCTGTCTGACCTTGCTCAACCATCCATCCATCCCTCGCAGTGGGGTCTTCAGACCTCCTCATATCAGACTCTTTCCCGTGGGAGCCCTCGGCGTATACCACTACCACTGACGGACGTACCCAGTAGCCACGACCTGGTCTCGGGGTGCTCCAAGTCCATCCCCACCATCAGGGGCCCTGGTGAACAAGCACTCTGGGACTTAGATTCTGTGCGCTGGGGACGCCTATTCAGTGGAGTGCTAGTGGTACCGCCGGGCGGTCCCTTACAGGTGCCTACAGCTACAGCCTACAGCTTTTGATTGGGTTAATTTTTTTAATACTTATAGCAGATGGCAACTTTGGTAAAATAAAAACAAAATGGGATTGTTTTTTTAATGGTGAGGTAAATGCGTCTGGGTTGAAAATTGCCTTCTTTTTAATACAAATAAATAGATCAGTTTGGCTGCAATACAAAATTCTGAACAATGGTGTGTGCCTTGTCTTGATGTCTCCTTATTATAGGTTCTTCCCCTGGAAAACCAAATGAGGAACAAGAAAGAGTTTTCAAAAGCTTTGAACATTGGCATGGCAATAGTGACAGTTTTGTATATCTCTCTGGCCACAGTGGGGTACCTGAGCTTTGGAGAGAAAATCAAAGGCAGCATCACTCTAAACCTTCCTCAAGATTCCTGGTGAGTACCTTCATGTTTCTTATCTTTGATAAATTTTTGCGCAACTTTTCCGAGCACAGAGAACATTCCGTGAAAACACAATGTGCATGCACTGTCAGCTCCTCAAACATGTCCTCTGATTTCCTGTGCCGCAAAAAGATTAAGGCATTTATATTCTATAAAGAAGAAAAAGATTAGTCAGAGAAGATGGGATAATTAGTATGAGCGTGTCCCAAACCTCTAGATGAAACTTTCTTAAACAAACTTGGCAACTTGCTAATAGAGCAATTCCATAGAAGTATTAAAACCAGTCCTTGAATTGGAAATTCTGCCAAAAAAAAAACCCCACTGTAGCTAAGGCTACAAAGTCCTCTCTATTTAGCTTAAAGTAAAACTTTACCCATAACAGCTTGATAACAATTAATGTTCTAGAACAAAAGAACATACAGTGTACATTAATAATTGTGCTACTTAAAGCGGAGTTCCATTTTTTTTTTTTTTTTTTTTCGGATTTTTTTTTTTTTTGTTTATTAAGTCAGCAGCTACAAAAACTGTAGCTGCTGACTTTTCATAAACACACACTTACCTGTCCTTGAGCCCAGCAATGTTCTCACCCCGCGGTGTCCCTTCTCTCCTCCACGGCGCTGGTATCTCTACTGTGGGCACCAGGCTGTGACAGCCAGAAGTGGGGGTGGGTACCTGTCAAAAACAGGTATCCGCTCCCCCCAAAAAAGGTTCCAAATATGGCATGGGGGGGAGGAGGCAAATAATTGGAGCATCCACTTTTGATTGGAACTCGGCTTTAAATTAGTTTGTGGTTTAAATTGCCTCCTGCATTGCTCCTCTTTCTTCTGCCCAGAGCAGTCACTAACTTGGAACTTTTCCCCCCCTCTCATTGGTTTCATAAACTATATGTCAGTTTTTTCAATTAAAATCTGTACATTTCCAGTTTTGATTGTATGCATTGGCTCAGTTAGAGTGGAACAGTGCTGAAGTTTACAGGCTGCCAATGAGGGAAAAAGGAGAAATAATCAGGGAGATAAGATACGATCTCCTTATAGTTTTAACTCTTCTGTGTCTCCCAGGCAACAGAGTTTGTCCTGTCACCTCTCCTGCTTTTCTTTTCTTCTTCCCTACTCTGTGTTCCTTCACACAGTCTGCGTCATTCCTGTTGCTTTTTTCCCCCTTCAGCAACCGTAAATCCTAAAGCTGTCACCTGATCAGCCTCTAGAGGTTCTGATTTAGGCACATTGCCGAGAATAGGGAGCAACTGAGCATGTGTAGAGCAAGGCGTCACTGGATTTTAAAAAATATAGCACTAAGGCCTTATGCAAACTGCAGATCAAAGAAGCTGCTTCTATAGGCATTTGAGCTGTTTTGAGTTTTTATTTTTCTCCTGTTATTTCTTCCAAATGCCCCTTCATGTTAGTCTGTGTCAATGCACACTATAGGCGTTTTCAGGAGTTTAGCTGCAGGGGAGTTTACAGGCAGGGAAAAAAAAACCCCTGATGGAATAGAGGATTGGCTTCCTCATTTCTAATTTGAGGAGACTGGTGCGTGTCTGTGTTAAGAAGGGATGGCAGGGATGAGAGAGACTGACTAATGTTGTTCTGCATCAGAGGACGAGCTTGTGTAGTGAGCTTTAAGGCCTCATGCACGCAGGACATTTTAAAAACGCTCCTCCTCTTGGCAGCAATGTTTTGACAGAAAAAAGCAAGCTTGTAAAAGTGTCTTTGCGTCAAGTATTTTTTTTCCGCCAAAACACTAGTGCTCTTGGACACACTGGCAGTGGGTTTTTTTTTTTTTTACAACTCCTAAGAGCCCCCTGCCACTAAAAGCGTCTAAAAGTGTATGTGTGCATGGACACCTAGGATAATCTGGAGGGGCGTTTAGAAGCTCTAAAAATGTGTGCATGAGACCTAAAAGAGAAATACGGGCTGTAGAAAAAACCAAAACATTATAATCACCTAGATGGATGGATGAGCGATCGCTCAGTTCTCCCCCCTCCGCTCTGAGCACAGAGCAGTGACTATCAGTCAGCAGTCACCCACCGTGGAGGGGGTGGGTGGCCCAGGCTTTCAGTGGATCGCTGGGTGGATCCTGACCATATGGTTGGCAACTTTTCAGAGCCTGGACCAGCTCTGTGTTGTCAGCTGAAAATGGGCTTCAGCCCACTGTTGGCTAAAAATGGGTCACAAGAGTGCAGAACTAACTGCACTCCTGTAATCCATAGGAGAAGTACAGTCAAAAAAGCTTAGGCTATACTTCTCCTTTAATAGCTCTGCGTTAAGGAGCAGACTAAATTGAGTAAGAGGCAGGGTTTCAGGTATGGCTCCTTTTAACCGCCTCCTGCCCACCATATAAGGAACGGACAGGAGGGAGGCAGTTCTCTCATTCTGGGAGGATGTCATATGATGTCCTCCCACTCTAACTGTGCATGCGCGCATCGGCGATCGGTGGTGCGCTATGTCCCTGGGACACAGCAGATCAGTGGAAAGAGCCGATGATGTTGGCTCTCTCGTGATCAGCTGTGTCCAATCACAGCTGATCGCATGTAAGCAAGGAAATGCCGGTTATCGGCATTCCCCTCCTCATGCTGACTGCTCATGAGGAGAGGAGAGCCGATAAGTGGCATTCCTCAGAAGGGACATGTACACTGATCATCAGGGCACTCCTTCGAGGCCCACTGCATCCGGCTCTTCTCTCCTACCCCTCTGAGGATTGCAGTAATCTACCAACCTCCTGGACCCGTATACCGATTCCTCGAAGACTACCATTCTTCCTCTCCTGAGCTACCCACCATCATCCTTGGAGACTTCAATATCCCTATCAATGTCAACAACCCAGCTACATCCCAACTCCTCCACTTAACCTCTTCCTTTGCACTCACACAGTGCACACAGTCCTCCACCCACACCGACGGGAGCACCCTGGACCTCGTTTTCTCCCATCTCTGCACCCTCCACAACCTCACAAACACCCCTTTCCCTCTCTCTGACCACAACTTCATTACGTTCTCCGTCCCTCTCCCCCCATCCTCTAACACCTCCCTCCCCAAACGTCAAACCATCACCAGCCATAACCTCCGCAACCTGAACCTCGCCCCTCTCCACTCTGCAGCTGACCATCTGTACAACAGTATCCTTCCATTGTCATGCCCTGACCTGGCCACGACCCGCTGTCAGCTGCCTTAGACTCCTTAGCTACCCTAACCACATGTAGCATTAGACCTCGACCACTTCAACCCTGGCAGAACGACCACACTAAAAATCTTAAATGTCGCAGTCGCGCGCTGGAGTGATTATGGCGCAAAACCAGATCCCCTCGAGCGTTCTCCCTCTACAAATCCACCTTCCTCACCTACACCTCCTCCCTCCACGCCGCCAAACAAGCCTACTTCGTAACCCTCATCAACACCCTCTCCACCTGTCCTCGCCGGCTCTTCTCCGCTTTCAACTCCCCACTCTCCCCCCCCCCCCCCCCACCTCCACCCAGTACCTCACTCACCGCCCACGAGATTTCCAATCACTTCCAAAAAAAAGTCGACGCAATCCGGAAGGACATCGCCATTGCTCAATCTACTTCCCCACCTAGCCTTCCTCCCACTATAACCCCATCAACTCCCCCCTCCTCAGACCTCGCAACTGCCCTGCCCCCCACCACACCTAACACCCCGCACACTATAACCTCCCCAACACTCCGCTCCTTCAGCCTTGCTACCACTGAGGAGGTCACTAGGGTCTTCTCAGAAGCCCACCTCACCACTTGCCCCCTTGACCCTGTCCCCACACAACTCCTCGGTCACCATCCTCCTCCATCCTACGCTCCCTCACCCACATCTTCAATCTCTCCCTCTCTACTGGCTCATTCCCCTCCCCCCTAAAGCACGCGCACATCACCTCCATACTCAAAAAACCCTCTCTGGACCCCACCGATCTGAACAACCTTAGACCCATCTTCCTGCTGCCATTTACATCCAAGCTCCTTGAGCGCTTAGTCTACAATCGCCTAAGCTCTCACCTCACTGACAACAACCTCCTCGATCCACTACAGTCTGGCTTCTGTCCCCTACACTCCACCGAAACCGCCCTACTCAAAATCACTAATGACCTGCTAACTGCCAAAGCTATTGGCCACTACTCAGTCCTCCTCCTCCTCGATCTTTCCGCGGCCTTCGACACCGTTGACCACCCCCTCCTCCTTAATAAACTACACTCCCTTGGCATCAGATACTCCGCTCTCTCCTGGCTCTCCTCCTATCTATCCCAACGCTCCTTCAGCGTTACCTATAATGCTACCACCTCCCCCTCTCTCCCCCTTTCTGTTGGGGTCCCTCAAGGCTCTGTCCTCGGGCCCCTACTCTTCTCCATCTACACCTCCTCCCTCGGCAAACTGATACACTCCCGCGGCTTCAACTATCACCTCTACACCGATGACACACAAATTTACCTCTCCACCCCTCACCTCACCCCTTCAGTCTCCGCCCGTATCGCCCACCTACTGAACGACATATCAGACTGGATGTCGTTCCATTTCCTCAAATTGAACCTTTCCAAAACTGAGCTCCTAATTTTCCCCCCAGCCCGCGCCCCCCCCCCCCATCCTCTCCATCACGACCAACGCCACCATCAGTCAGTCCCACCCCGAAGCCAAAGTCCTAGGTGTCACTCTAGACTCAAACCTGACCTTCCAACCCCATGTCTAATCGTTGGCAAACTCATGCAGGCTCCACCTCCGCAACATCTCCAAAATACGTACGTTCCTAACCCCAGACACTACTAAACAGCTCGTTCACTCCCTTATTATCTTAAGTCTGGACTACTGCAACTCCCTTCTCACCTACCCCAACACAGGCTAGCCCCACTTCAGTCTATCATGAACTCTGCGGCCAGACTCCTCCACCTTACCAACCGCTCCGCTTCTGCCACCCCCCTCTGTCATTCCCTCCACCCGCTTCCGATTGCCCAACGCATTAAATTCAAAATACTAACACAGACATACAAAGCCATTCATAACGCTGC